GGTGGCGAAAGGAGCGGTGCGTGCGGGTCCCTTCCTGCCCAGAGACACGGGACACGGGCCCTGCCGGGCCGAGCTCCGGTGCCGCCCCGGCGCTGCGGGTGCCGCGGTGACTCGGGAGCAAAGGTGAAGGCCTCAGTGGAACTTCACCAGAGTCGCCCCGAGCTGGGTTTGGCACTCGGAGCCCCGGCTGCAGCCAGCGGTTAACGTGGTGCTGTCACACGTCGCTGCCGAGCCTCCCGCACCAGGGTGGCACCACGCGGTGCTCTCTGCCTTATTCGCACCTCGCTTTTCTCCTTTAAGAAAACGGCAATTTTCAGTCTTGTGCATCAGTGGGTAAAGATCCAATTCCAATCTATTCCTTACGCCGTTCCTAAGAGAGACACAGTGAAAGCTGCTGTTCACCCAGGAAGGTCTTGCTGCTTCAAGCAATTCAGTGGCACAGTCAAACCCCTGTCTAGAAATCCTTGTCCCACTAGGATACAGTTCCCAGCCAGAGATTTACTTGCCCTTGGAAGAAGGTAGGAATGCAGCAGCTCTGTCTTGCTGAGGTGGGTGCCGTTGGCAGGTCTGTATCCTGCACAGGGACACTCTAGATCATGCTTCTGTACCCCACGCTTGATGCCTTCACATCCTGCTTCCTCTTCCCTCCCTCCATTTTCTGACATCGCCATTTTTTCTCTCCACTAATAGGACTGGATGGACCCAGATTATTTTAGTGGTGGAAATAAAAGGAAAGTGTTCCTGAGTTGTCTCTGGCTCCCAAGAGCCTGCATGTTCCACATGGTACTTTGCTCTTCTGTGATAATGCATCACTGCTTGAAAGAACCTTGCTCCAGATGAATGATGTGAGCTCCAGGGCTGGAGAAGTGCCCAGCCCACTGCCAGCATCTCCTAGCACACCAGTTGAGACAGACTCAATTTCCAAATAAGCCGTAAGACAAATTTGTTTCAAACCTACTTTATTCTTCTCAAGTGAACGGAGACAAAGAAACTACACAGTTTGGTTACAGAACAGTGTTAAGGGTTAAAAAACATATGGAAAATGTACTGACAAAGAGCAAACCTTGGAAGTTGTTCCCAGAAGTCAGCGAGTCCAATCTGTGTTTTCAAAGAAGAGACTTACTGAAACATTGCTGGTCTACAACCCTTTGTAGAGAGAAAAAAAGCAACAAAACCCCCCAAAGCAACACACATTTCCCCTAACAAAAGAAATGCACAGATACATCATAAGCATCCACTCACACCCATTCACTTCCAGAGAAAAGCAGCTCTGGCGGGGATTGGTACGAACATGCAGATGTCATGTCCCTTTCTAATTTTGCCTGGGAGAGGGATGTTAGACATGTTTTAAACCAATTTGACTCCTTTTTTGCCCCCTTTATACACACTTGTCTATCTACACACCACATTAGTGTTGCACAGCCTTATCTGCCTGAGTTTGACCCAGCAGCGCTGACAAACAATGCTGGCGTGCAACTTTTGGCAGGAAGCTCCTTTTCTCAGCCTAAAATAACTCTGACTTGGCAGAAAAGTCCTTTTTATTAGTACACCTCTTTGCTGTTCTGCCAGCATACTGGTTCATTAGGGTGTGATCTTTCTCGCTCTCCCATGAAAGTCTCTTGTATTGCTATGCCAGGAGACTTATCTGTATATAAACTAAGCCCACATGAGTTAGCCAGAAGGCTTTTTCAATTTTCACAGCAAATCCTTTCTAATCTCAATGGACAGGCATCGTAGAATCTCTCCTACTCACAGATCTGGATTGGATGTTTTACACATCTGCAACAGGTAACAAAAGAACCAATGCAATTCGAGACATTGGTCCAATAACAGCCTAAGACAAACAAAAGTCAGTGCTCTCAAATGAAAAACAGCTCTTGAAAAAAAAACGGATCTCAAAGTTTAACAGGCTTCAAGAAGAACAATCAGACACAGAAGGAATTTTCTTTGAAAGAAAGTCCATCATTGTTTCCATTCAACAATGCATTTACCTGCCACTAAAGAAAGGAGCATGGGCAATAGCCCCTTTTTTCATTTGGACATCTTAAAATACCCAGTTTAAGCTCATCAAGTCACCTCTAGCAGAAGTTAGATTCATCCAGCCACCCTGAGGTTGGGATAGGGTTCTTCCACAGATTTACCACTTGATGTTAATTTTTGAGCATCCTCCCTGTAGAAGGATGTCACTTGAGACACCACTTTGTGGGAAAGCAATCCCCATGTCATCCCTGTAGTTTGCATCCTTTTGTGGATCACTTCTCTCTTTCAATTCCATGACTGGTCTGATCAAAAGACCATCCTCATTCATTCTGTAGTCTTTCATCGCTTGCTTTCTTCTCTGCTTCTGGATGTCTGCCAACTGATGCAGCTCCTCTAGCAGCTCCATGCAAGTGAGCTGATAAGGAAAAAACAGTACGTATGCACACACACATTCTTCTTGTGTTGGGACCAGATGAGAACCCCCTCTTCTAATTAGCCAGTGGAACAGAACAATCATCTCTCCTTAGCTCTCAGGAATGTATCAACTACTTGCTTACACAAACAATACCTCATGGTAAAGTCACCCCACTTTCTTTCCAAGGCAACCTAGAGGGAAAAATACTAGACTTGCATGTATTGTTTACTACTTTATTATTAAGATCTTAAAAGATTTAAGTAATACTTCACATATGGGATTTAGATGTCTCCTGTAAAACCTTTTGCGCAATCCAGTTGTTGTAAACCCCAGAAAGAGGTATGACCAGTCCATGGTTGCTTGTAGGAGCCACTGCAAAGGTACCTTTTCCAGCTTTTCATTCAAAACAATGGTATTCTATCTTATGGGTAAGGAAACCCTTATGTGGAAAAAGCCAACATAGTTCACAAATCAACAAAACAGCTGCTTAGGATGTACATAAATGGATGTCTGTGTGAACACACTGATAGAAACACTGTGAACACCGTGAGTGGAGATAGAGATGCACTGGAAAAGAGTTACCAGGGCTTTTGTAAAAGGAAGCCATGCCTCACAAAACCTATGTCTACAAGTCTGCACAGATCCAGAGGAAGGCTCAAAAAATCAGAGCAAGCACTTACTTGAAAACACCTCACTTTCAGTTCTGTTTAACCAGAAGAATGTACATCCAGCTCCCTGCTACAGTATTCTACAATGAGAGGTAAACCATGCTTTAAACCATTTAAAGCTAAGTTGCATGAAAATTCAGGCTATCTGTTTATAATGATTAATATGCATTGTGTGCAGTCCCAACTCACCTGCCAATTAGGAAAACTTCTGGGCCAGACACACAACTATATTTAGACAGAGAATAGAGTTTATGCCAGCATGTGTCATGAACATGTTACCTGGCATTATACACTACACTTCACCTTCTCTACTGCAGCTTTACTTTACGTGAACTGGGAAATCAACTTTGCTGCACAGGGGTGTGCAGCTCCCCTCTGGTACCACAGCTCTGCTTGTGAACTGTCACTGTTTAAACAAGAAACCACCATGCTTCTAGGAGAACATTTCCTTTGATGAGTTCCCAGCCTGTATTTGCTTCTTCAAATCTGAAGTCCTAAGCATCAGAATGTGGCTGCATTTCCAAGTACCTAACAACACACAATATGAATCTACAAGGAGTTAGATATTTAGCTCCTTTACTAGCTCTTTTCTAGTGACAGAGCTGCAGAGGCACAGAAACCCATTTTAATTGACATCTGCATCCAGGAGAACAACTACTCCTGGCAGACAGTTATGCTGAAAATAGAGGAAATGGCTGAGACCTTCAGGGTGGGAAGTCTTTGCTGAGTTCTCCCACTCAGCGGTAAGGAAGCTTCTCAGTTTGAGAAAGATGCTGAAGAGGGAAGCTGAGGGTTTTGACAGTGAAGCACTGGGGATCAGAGGTTACTAGTTTGCATCTGGTTTGTGGGTAAAACTCAGTTGCTTAATAGGGAGTGTCCACTATTCAGAAGATTCAACTACTATTTGCAGGTGATGACACAAGAAGCCACAGAAAGCATCAACATACGTTTCCAAAACTGTCCGGATCAATAAGATGTCTTTCTTTTATTTCTTTCTTTTTTTTTTTTTTTTTTTTTTTTTAAACTTTATTCTCCTTCTTTGCTTTTCTCTTCCTTCTCTTCTCCCAGTACTACACCAACAAGGATATTGCATTGTCTTTTGTGGCTGCTGTGGACTATTTTAAACTTTATTCTCCTTCTTTGCTTTTCTCTTCCTTCTCTTCTCCCAGTACTACACCAACAAGGATATTGCATTGTCTTTTGTGGCTGCTGTGGACTACTGGCAATACCTTGCTGTGGCTAGCAACTGCTAGGGTACATGACACCCATCTTTTCCACCTTTTCCTGAAGGAAGCTCTAATCCATGGAGTTACATCGTGCCACCTTGACAGCGTATCTCCCACCTACCCTTCCAGCTCATGGGCCAGCTCCTCAGTACATCTTCTGTTACTGCTGAAACAACTATCAAATGACAAAAGGATGTGTTTGGCTCTGCAGAAGCAAGGTGGAAGTCTTGCTGGAAAAACTACCCACTGGCTGATCATAAGGGTCATTTCCAGCAAAACATGTGAAAGATCAAGGAGAAGACAAGATGGATGATAACTCAGGTGAAACCAGGACTACCACCAGTGATTGCTGTAATTGCTCATGAGAATGATGAGATCCAAGTGAAAGAGACTCAAAAATACTGTTTGCACACAATATGTAACTCCTGCTTTCTCTTCTCTTACCAATATATAAACTGTCATTAATCTCCATGTCTACAAACTTGTCCATGGCCTCTGACAACCTAGCACTTCATTCCCATAAAATTATTTATGAAAACTTGTCTTCAGTAGAGGGGAAGTACAAGCTTCTATCAAAATAAGCTGGAAGAAAACAACACCCCCACCACTCATCCATGTTCAATAGACAAGGCAAAATGAGACACAGATACATGCAATCTGTAAGCCTAAAATCAAGCACTCCTGAATATGATGAAGGTCTCTAGAATGGTCTGACCATAGTATCAACTCTGCATTTGGCCAGAAAGCACTTCTCATATTCTGCCATTAATCGGGAGCCTTTTGGAGCATACAAAAACAACTCACCAAGGAACAAAAGATGCATGTGGAAAACTGACTGCAGAGACTGAGCATACAGAGCCCAAGGAAGGGTGGTGACAATTACATTCATCAGCCTTATTCACTCTTGTCTTTCCTCAACTCTCAGTAGATCAGTGATCCATAAGAGCAAGTGAATAGGGCTTGGCTTTTGCTCCATGATTATAAATAGCCACTTTTCCTTGCTGCATGTTTCCAAGAGGAGAAAAAAACAGGGTCTGGTACAGATCTGCTCCCAGAGGCTGACCTCACTGATTCAGCAAGATATGGAGAGAGCAGGTAACTACACCAACAGTCATTATTCAACATTATTGGTCACTACTCAGCATTATTCAATTCACAGGCAACCTCAGGGAAGTCAAGGCATCTTTTTCACCAAGTATATCCTGATACTGTTATTACACACAAAAGCTGTTTGCATTATGAACTTTGGGATGTGACAGTGACTCAGCAAAGATTAGGAAGATGTTACCATGACAGTCCAAGATGAAATTCAACCCTTTAGATCCTGATCCAGGTGCTGAGATCCACCATGTGACAGCTGGAGATGGGAAGGAATGTGGCTGTTATATATTTCATCCAGCTTCTGTACTTCATTTTTAATGAAGTCTCACAATTGAAACCAAGTCTGTATCTATGTACTTGTTTTGCAATTATAGTTTCCATGGGAGTATCAAAAACCTGAGGCAATGAGAGAAGGAAAAGAAGTATTCTTCTGTGTGACATGATGTCACTTAATAAGAGAGGAAACAGGAGCAGGCCAGGGAAGCATGGCTCTGTTCATTGCTCTAGTCAGGTATGACATACTCAAAACACTGTTGTAGCCCAGAGGCACAACAGATGGCACATCTACATAAATAACTTTTCCTTTGCCAAAAGGCTGAAAATGTGGTGGTTCTGTTCAGAGAGCACAGTCCAAGAACTAAAACAGAACTGAGAAAGGCCCAGAAGGGGCTTCCGTATGTGGAGTGATGGAAATCGGCCAGTTTCCAATCTAGTCATCTCCATATGTCTATAAATCAAAGAGACCATGGTAACCTGGAGACTCTTGCCTAGTGACTTTCACTCCCACAACTTTCAAGTAAAAACTTGATGTAACAGGGATGATTCCTGTTTACTTAGGAATTATGTCCACCTTCCCACTTAGAAGCTGAAGTAGTTAAGGATATCTTTATAGCCTTGGAGCATTTGCTGTCTTTGGCTTTCCTACAGTTGTGCTTCAGCAACAGAGGCGTGTCTTCCAGTTCTGCAGCATGGAGAAAGCATATTAGATAATGTATTTCAGGTATCCAAAATGTTTCCCTGGCATGGGTATTTACTTCAGAATCCAAAGAGGTCCATTACTTCTGCAGAAGCAGTGTCAGAACTGCACCAGATCATGTCTGGAGAACACAGTTATCAAGCATAGGGGCTCCAGTGTTGCTGTTGTTGGAGACTGGCTCCAAGATGAAGTCAAGCTCATTGTACCAAACTGCTGTTCATCAAGGGTGAATTCACAAGTGTGAATTCTAACTGGTCGGTGGAAAAAGTGAAATAGTTCAGTACAAGCATATGCCAGGTAACTTTCAACTATAGCTCCACAAAGTGCAAGAAGGCATAACACAGACTTCAATGATGGATAAACTTCTAAAGATCCATGAAAAAACAGTAGAATAAATAGAAGAGGGTAAATATCTTGACTCTTACTTCAGAGAACAGATCTGAATAAAAGGCTTTGATTCAGGAAATTAGCACAAACTGAGACAGAAAACCTGGAAGTAGCACAAAGAGAGCTTCCCCCTCACCCCCCCCCTCCCTTTTTTTTTTCCTTAAGACAGATCTAGCTGAACTCATCAACTTGCAAAGGATTTCCTTAAGGTTCACTTTCTTAACTTAATCAGGGAAGAAAGTAAGAGACCAGATGTAACTAAGCCAAACTCCATATTTAGAGTTTAAATATGTATTGTGAGCAGATTTTAAAATAAAATATAAGACACTTTAATTTGCGTCATCTTCTCACAAGGTGTAGAAACAACAGAAAATTATTAACAACAAAATGTTAATGAAAATGGCTACTTGTACTACCCATACAACAAGATTTCTAAAGCAACTGCATGAAGTATGATTATGAAGACATTATATTAAATAGATCTTCAAAATGCCATTTGAAATGTGCAGGATTAGATTAATTCCTTGGCTAAACTTACGGAATAAATGGCCTTACCAAAGGACTGGCTTCAGCAACCTGACTACCACTTAAAAAAATAATCTACAAACAAATAACTCAATGCAAAACAGAATTTGTGCTCTTTTCACTTTTCCCTTGTGTCATGCCTACTTTTGCATGCATTTCACATTGGAAATTCAGATGTCAAGCTCATTTTTTTTTCCATGAACTATGAACAACTTTCTTTTTTTGGTAGCTCCTCTAAAAAGCAAAGGTTTTCACATACGACCTCTTCTCTTTCACCTGTGAAGCAACTATGACCTCTTGTGGTTATCTAAACTAATCTCCTCCCAATCCTCAATAATGGAGTTTATGCTCTGAGCCCTTACGCAATTCCCAAAGGATCCAAGTTTATGCTTGAGTGCTTTGTTAAACCAAGGCAAAGAAAAAGACTATTTCTTCCATACAAACAGACCTTCATTTTCTTTTCCTAATAAATATTTCAAGATATTTACGACTGCAAAAAAAAAGAGTGGTAACAGGATTTAATCACATTAACTCAGTCTCTTTATGAGGAATGAGGATATTTGACCATTCACTTTTCACACAAATTTAATAGCAGCAGTATCTTACAGAGATACTGCAAGCCCTCCTAAGATTATTTAATTGAGAAGACAGAAAAAACCCACACCAGAGAACTGTCAACCATACAAGAGCCACTTCCAAGGTACCTCAGCATTCAATACTATTAGTTCTATGTCATCAAAGAAGAAAACTGACTTGACTTTTTGGGGTTTTTTTGATAATACAGGCAAGAATAAATTAGAAAAACATGGTAATTCAGAGACACTTTTACAGAAATAAAAACCTTGGCCAACAAGAGACAACACTTCTCAAAAACAGTCAGTATATGCAAAAGAGCTCAGCACTAAAGTTTACAGAATAGGAGAAAGAACAGAAAATTTGGGGACTAAAAGCTCTTACCAAAACAAAGCAACTCTGGCAGCTGCAGGTACCAACACTTCATGACTACCTGTCCCTCTTCATGCCTTCACACGTGCACAGCCCCTACTGAGCCAAGACAGCCTCAGGGTGAACAGAGGGCACATGTGCCTATGCCTTAAGAGCTGCAGCTCACCATCCCCAATACAAACGTGAGGTAGATTTGTGCTAATGGAGTAACATGAAATGCAGCTAGGTAGATATACACACCATCACTTCTGCTGGTGCACACAGGAAACAAGGTATGTGGGATAAAGCAGGGTGTACAGTTACAGAAAAGGAAGCTACTGTAGCTATGTCCTCTGAGTGTTTATCCATCAGAGCCTTAGATCAAGTCACTAACCAGAGAAACAAAGACCCACCTACCTTCATGCTCCTCAGGTCATTTCCACACCCAGTCTGATAGTTATTTAAGTAACCATGTACTACAGTTGTCAGGTCAGACATCAAGTTATCCATTAGAGATGAGTGGAGCTGCAGAAGATAAATAACCTTCAGAGCAAGTGCTTTAAGCAGAGAAGCTGGAACGGGTCTCAAGAACCATATGTCAGGATTCTCCTGTATATCCCAGTGCAAAGAAGAACAGTTATTTAAGTAGTAAAAACTATAACAAAGCTTTTAATCACATCTTCTATACTTAACAACATATTTCCCAATGCTAATCTCTATTTTTAGTGGTACTGAATGCTTGCAGCTTCTAATGCCATCCGTGTATAATCCTGTGCATATTTGAGAAGAAGGAGTTTGGAAGGAGGGATTGTTTCTCTTTTAAAAAAACACAAACCAAACCAAAAAAATATGAAGACACACCTATTCCAGCATTTAATGCTAGGTTTTCTCCCACCCATTTCTGAAACTAGGCTGGATTCCTAAATGCTGAGCTAAAAGACCTCAAGGGAAAAAAAGCCCTCCCATCAAGGGAACCAGGGAAGCAGCTGGGAATAGTAACATATTCAGCTATCACAACTGAAACCAGAAGAACATGAAAATAAGCCCCACTTAAGCAGCATGACCATGATAACCTGAGCAAAACTGTCACTATAGAGTGGCTTATACTGGTATACTTAGCACATACATATTACACAGTCATTTTTCACTTTTTGTCTTCAGACCAACAGGAGGATTTGGTCTGGTAAACTGTCCTGGTTTCACTGGGATAGAAACATACAATTGATTTTCTGTTCAGGAAAGCTGCATTTTTGAGATGACTGCAGCACCCACTTTGGTGGGAACAAAGCTGGTAAGACACTTTGTTTTAGTTTGTGGCCAGCCATCGTGTGTGGGTTTCCACAGTGATCAAGGTCTTCAGCAGTTTTGAATTAGCCAGGTGCTAAAGCCAGGGCAGCTGGCCCAAGCTGGTCAACAGAAGTATTCCATACTATAAATATCACACTCACTATAAATTGGGAATTTTGCTGGGGATGAGGTTCTTCCTCAAAGGCTGCCATGCCTGGGGGGCCTCTTCTGTTGTCCTGCACCCAAGGCCTGCTCTCCTGTTTGCTGTGACCATCGTGCTCACACTGGAGCTGTGGTGCTTGCAGTGTCTGACATCTGTCACCCACTGCTGGGAGCACACAGCTCATGACCACACCAGCTGAACTGCACCAGCAAGAAAAAAAATCGCTACTCTCA